ACATAACCAAACACTGGTGCTCCGTTAGCACATGAACACTTCCAAAGAAGCAACCAAATGAATTCTTTTCCTTATACATCACATCCACCAAAAGCATAAACTATGAGTCATCCCAACACCTGCACATGAATCGTTAAAGCGAGATGTAACACATATACGTCAAATTCTTTGTCCAAAATACCCTTGATGTTTTTTCTCCTCTTGGTCATAACTAATCCACTAATGCACCGATAACCAAAAACTAAACAGGCACACAACCACATGACTCAAACATAGATGATGGGCTCCCCCACTTAGATTTACTCTACAATCACATAGATCCAGACTCCACAACGACCTCTTCTGTCTAGTCACCATGATCCCACGCCGTTGCTCGGCCAAAATTCTCATAAGTTCTTGTTGTACTAATCATAACGCATCCCGAATTATCAGCCACAATTGCACACTCGACCTCTTAACATTTGTACTATCTTCTTCCAACGATCCAAGCTCACATAGCAGTATATGCATCCTATGTTGGGCAGAAAGTAGAACTCTTCATAGGAACCTCAACAAAGCCACACAATCGCTAACCTGCTCACAGGAGATAGTCCACCTATGTAACTTCATGTCGACCTCCTCCAACGTCATTGCTATAGTTACATCCAACATAAAATCAACTAACCTCCCTGGGTCCACACTGATCTGCCAGCCATAAGAATCCCCCATTCATTAACATCACCCGAAGGTCCAACAATGTGTTTGAAACTCGAAGCAGTATTGCATCCAAGACAATGATCGAATACTTCACCTTTCCCTACATTCCAATCAAGCCCTTCTCGTCACATTCAAAATTTCTAAGCATAGAAACAACCTCAGAGATCATCTCGCTCGAATCATCAATACTAGAAACGCTTATTCGATCCTGAAGTTGCAACACACAACTATCTCTGATAACTTCCTCTTAGGTTCCATCTCACAACACAGTGCCCAGAGGCAAACAAATTAAGACCAACATGCCGATGAGCCTCAATGCATTTAATCAAGGACGGCGACACCACAATATTAACAAGAATTCCACAAAATTCGAAAATATTAAATCTCGACTGTAGGCAATACTGACATTGGGCTGAAATGACAGAACACCCCTTCACAAGGTGACGATAATAGCCCACTAAAATACGTCGGAAGAAATATCCTGCACCACATTTGTAGTACCATTACAACTCCTCGATGCCCAAGTGATAACTAGCGCTCAACATCGTATAAGAATGAGTAGGAAGGAAATGAAGGCATAAGCTTCAATGGGATCAAATCGCACGACGAGGAATCAAGAAGGAAAGTGCTCCTAATAGCCATGTAGCCTCTCGAAGATAGACACTACATCTCTGTACTGATCCGTAAGACTCTACTAGACTCGCTCAGACTCAAGTGAACCTAGAGCTCTGATACCAAGCTATCACGACCCAAAATCTACTATAGGTTGTGATAGCGCCCAACGTCATCGTTAGACAAGCCAACGATGAACTATCAGCTTAATTATTCATTTTATTATTTTTGAAATCATGAATCTTATTAGATAGAGAGATCAATGCATTAAAAATAGTAGGTATGTACAATTTAAATGAAATATAAAGTAATAGTGTGCCAATGTAAAGCAATTGTACATAAATTCTAGAACACCACAAAACCTGGTATCACAAGTGCATGAGCATCTACTAGGAAGTACAATAACATTATATCATCTGTCTGGAATACAAGGTAGACAGGATAAAGTAAATAATTATGATGGAAACTCTGTGTGTTGCGAATCGTGGCATGGAATACAGCTCACCATAGAGTCCCCTCAGCAGCGGCGCTTCCGCGCCCAAGTGACCATCAAATGAACCTGTCAAATCCCGCACATTTAGTGCAGAAGTGCAGCATGAGTACGTAAATCAACGTGTACCCAGTAAGTATCTAATCTACCTCCAAAGAGGTAGTGACAAGGGATCGACATTAGCACTTACTAGTGGTCCAGCAAATCAATATAACAAGTATGCAAATATGAAAACATTGTAGATAACAATGAGTACAGGTAAAGGCAAATAATACGGTCTACAGCTGAACAGTGCATACAAAGTCCACAAATACTGTATACCTCTCAAATGGAGTACGAAATGGTCAACACCAAATAAACGGTCACATCTCGAGTTTGGAAAATTCATGAATACGCGGACTTCTTATCAAGTATTTCGCACGATTTTGCCGAGTCGAGCGACCCGATCCCATAAGAGTGGGTTTCATAATCGTGTCGAGGCGAACAAGACGATCCCATAAGAGTGTGATACATAATCATGTCGACGCGAACAGTCCAATACTATTAGAATATGAAGCTTTAATGGGTCTTTGACCCCACTCACGAATATACGTGTGAGTTATGAAATTTAAGAAAACTTTTCGATAAATACGCACAACGCGGGAGAAGTTCGTAAGGGAAGCCTAATTTTCCGCGGCTAATCAAGTATCTCGTCGAGTATTTAACATAGAGAGTCCATTACTCTGTGCGAGTCTGTCTCAGGTGATAATGCGAACCAAAGTAATTAAACATGCAAGGATAACTCAAATAGTACAGTTAAAGCATGACGTGAATCTAAGTCTACCCGGACATAATCAAGAATTCTAGCATACACACGTACACTCATCACCTCATACGTATGTAGCTTCCACAACATGTACCACATAATAGATATAACACCTACGGGGTAAATTCCCCCTCACAAAGTTAGATAGGAGACTTACCTCGCTCCGAAGTTCTATAACCGGCTCCAACGCTTCTCTAGCACCTCAAACCAATGCTCATCGATCTGAAACTAGTCAAACAATCATGAAAACAAATAAAAATATACTCCAACATCATAATTAATTAATTCATAACACTTTTCAACTCCGCTCGAAAAGTCAACAAAGTCAACCCTCGGGCTCACAAGCTCGGATTCTGAAATTTTTTGAAGATAGACATTATCCATAACATAACGAACTCAAATATAAAATTTATTCCCAATTTCGTGGTCAAAAGCCAAAAATACCAAATTCTAAGTTTTCTTCAAAAACTCCACAATTTCTACAAATTTCCATGTTTAAATCAATATACAAGTCATGTATTTAGCTTACAAGAAATGAGAATCACTTACCTTGTGTTGCTTGATGAAAATCACCTCGAAATAGCTCCCCAAATTCGGCCACCCAAGTGAAAAATGAGAGAAAAGTGAGCCAACTCCCGAATTAAAAAGGACAGTGCCCAGACGACCCTTCTTCCCGAACGCGGCACAGCCCTCGCATTCGCTAAGCTCAGCAAACTCTGGACCCAAAACTCTTCTTCGCGAACGCGATGCTTCACCAGGTTGCTCTATCGTGAACGCGTCCACTCCTTCGCGGACGCGAAGGCCAATCTCCCCCAGGCCAACTTCTTCATCGTGAACACGAAGATGATATCGCGAACGCGTAGCTTTGCCGTCCTACCTTACGCGAACGTGTAGCTTTGTTGTCCTACCTTACGCGAACGCGAGGCACTAGTCCTGAATGTGAAGCACAAAATTTCAGCAGCCAACAAATCCTTCTTCGCGAACGCATGAATCCCTTCGCGTTCGCGAAGAACAATAAACCAGACACCAACACCAGCAATAGCAAAACACGGAGAAATGATCTGAAACCACCCCTGAACTTACCCGAGGCCCTGGGACCCGGTTCGACCACACCACCAAATCCCAAAACATGACACAAACCTGTTTGAGGCCTCAAATCGCACCAAACAACATCCAAACTACGAATCGACGATCAAAATCCTTCTTTTAACTTCCAAACATTCCAACTTCGACGAACACATCCAATTCATACTTAAACATTCCGGAATGACACCAAACTTTACGCACAAGTCACAAATCACGATACGAACCTATTCCAAGGCTCGGAATCCCAAACGGATATCAATAACACCAAAGTACTCTTCCAACCAAACTTAGGAAATTATAAAACTTTCAAAATGCCAACTTCCACAATAAGCGTGGAATCGCCCCCGGAACCGATATTCAACCCGAACACATGCCTAAGTCCGAAATCATCATACGAACCTATTGGAACCTTCAAATCCCGATTGCGAGGTCATTTACTCAAAAGTCAAACATTGGTCAACTATTCCAACTTAAAACTTTCGAATTGAGAATTTTCCATCTGAATCAACTCCAAACTTTCCGAAATTCAATTTCGACCACGCGTATAAGTCATAGATTATGAAGTGAAGTTACTCAAGGCCTCAAACCGCCGAACGACGCGCTAGAGTTCAAAACGATCGCTCGGGTCGTTACACTAATAGAAGGAAAGTAAAGAATGTGGCACTAAAGGGGGGAACAGAGAGGCGTGAGATAAGGAAGGGCACAAGAAAGGGATTTGGGGNGAGGAGACGGGTAGTAAGAAAGAAAAGAGACGAAGACGAAAGAAGGAGAGAAAGAGGAACAAGAGGACTTACCTGTGTACGCCGGTCTCAACGGCGAGGCGCTTGGGGAGTTAGATTTAGGGCTTTGACCGTTAGAGTTGGAGAGATCCTTGACACATTTGCCAGAAATAAGATTACTGGTGTTCACTTGTTTTGTATTCCAACATTACTCTAGGAGCTTTGCTATTCTAATGTCGATATTTTGGATTATGCTCTACGTTTTAATAATGATCTCAAAAACTATTAATTATTGTTTTACTCCTTCCCGTCCAATTACCGTAATTTGACCGAGCACAGATATAAAAAGAAAAGACATATTTTTGAAACTTATAATTTTAAACATATTGCTACAAAAGCATGCCATTAAAGATACCACAACCCTTGAAAGTGAAATTATTTTCAAATATAAAAAAGTTTCAGTCTTCTAACGATCTAACAAGAAAATAATTCCACCTTTAGAACAGATGGGAGTAATTCATAAGGTCAAGGACATCGGAATTCGGAACATCTACTAAATGGGAGGGAGGACAGTGCAACACATACAGAGTACTCTCGGTAGCCAATCTGAATATAACGAAGAACAAGAGCAAATGATAAGCTACAAATTACTTGTATAACAGACTCATATTCACAGAACAGACAACATAGAGCTTTAAGTTTCACTACTGCTGGAGAAACCTACCAACTTAACAGTAACCAGAAAAAAAAGAAACAAAATAAACTAATATACATGACGACCTTTTTGCCAATTCCCTCTAACAGGAGGAAAAACTAAAGGCCGGAGTCATGCACCACTAAGTTTACAGCGTACCAACTGGATCATACAATAAACCCAGTGTGTAGCACACATTACATGCCTAGGGACTAAGGATGCTCGCAAATACCCTTCCGTTGATATATATGAACGCAGCTAACTTCCAATGAGAAGTTAATCCGATCACTAGCTTCCACCAATAACAATGCCGTCCACTTAATCAAATTCATTCATCTGCGTCGTACATGGTGAGCTTTGCTATCATTCTGTATCCTATCAGCATACATTGGCAGTCGTATGATCTCATAGATCTCATTCAACAACACTTCTTCAGTGATGTTGTCAGTAATACTTCTAAATACCTGAATTTTGTTGTACATGAACCATAATTAGTCTAATAGGGGCTATCCATCTTAAATAAATGAGAAAATATGGAAGAGGTTCTATTAAAGCACAAGTCCACGTATCAACAAATCAACTGCATAACTTAGTATTTGCCATTAAAGCGATAATACATACTTTTCTGTAAGTGTTGTAATCATTTGGAGTTCCTTTATCAATTCTGGTCCTCATCCACACCCATTCCTGGTTACTGGTATCCCAAGAACACTCTACTATTTTACCAGAGTAGTCTGACGGGTCAGAACTATCTGTGATCATGAAAGAAACCAATTTTAGGATATGCACCAGAGGTAAATACCCAGAGAAGCAGGAAAACAAATTCACGGGATACAAATAAAGCACAAGCAACAAGGATCAACCATTTGAATGACCATCTTAAAGAGTAAGAGAAGAAACAAAATTGTTCAATTCTTGTCAAAATCTCGAGAGGTACACGTCATAGTCTGACAAAGATGATCTTGTTAATCAGAATTTTACCATTAAGACTAAGGAGACACCTAAATGTGGGTTATCTTGTTCATAGTCACGTGCAGAAGATATTCACGCCTATTATATTTCCAACCAAACCCCAAGTAAGGGAAACATTCCTGCATGATACGACAAGAGGTATTAACTAATATAACTGGGAATTTCTAACCTGGGAAAACAACTCTATTCCCTTCCATTAGTTTCTTCTTCCCTCGTTCATGTAGATAAAGCAATTCACGACCGTCAACCACCTGCCATATGATCAGAGATACTCACACTTAATTCCAATAGGAGAGTATGAAACATGACCCACTTCATAAAGGCCATTCCACTTAAATCGTGGAGACAAATGATATTTAACAGGTAAGTGGTAGGGATAAAACAAAAATAAGAAACCAAAGGACAAGGAGGAAACTGAAACAGCTCTATTCACTAGGAGAGCAGAGAACACAACCTCAAACAGAAAGTCAACTGAGTTCATTTCAGGGTATTTCCACTTCAAGAGACCTTCATGCGTGCGAGGAACATAAGGATCATCCCAACCCTAACACAGAAAGGAAACAGTAGCTGAGCGTACAACCTAAAACAATTACATTTGTATGATTTGTGCATCTCTGTCACTGTTAGCCGTAAATATGTCATTTGCAATTAACTGAATGAGGATATGCTATCATCTTTAATAACTTCTCTGCAGCATAACAGTAAACAAAGATAAAGGTTGAACCACTTTCAAATAGAGTTTCATCAAGATAGCAATCAAAACATACACGCCATATAACTTGGAAACATCTAAAGTGATGCAAAAAACTGACTCCTCAGGAGAAACTCAATACAACACTAGAACAAGAGGGCATTCAGTATAATCACTCTAAAAGATTTGTCACTCTTTAGAACCTGAAAAATGAGACCGTCTGCTTCATGTGAAAGCTTTGGAATAAATTCTTTGAGAAGTTTCGTGACAGTAGAGAGCAACCAAAAATCCTTCCTCCTCACCTGGTAGACTTTGAGAGATCAGCAGCCACTTTAGCTAGAAAAAATGATACTAGAAATCAACTATAATTAATCTGATGACACTATGTTACAAAGTTGACGAAACATACCCTGAAAGGCTCCAACTCGTATCTATAGTAAGGGTTTCTACTCTGGTATATATGTTGACGTTCATAATTCCTGGGCTCAATCACTTCTTTGTCAATCATTTTCCACCGTTCATAAAAGGGTCGCTGTAAAATACCAGAACAGAGACTGAGCAACCTCAATGGACAGATAATGTTTGTAGAAAAAAGCACACTCAAGCAAAACAGAATGAAGAAGTTAGCAATGCTTATCCAGTGTAGAATGAGAAGGATACGTGAAATACATAGGTTTCATGGCCTCCAAGACATTTATGTCTTTTACCATACAAAACCATAATCACACACCACAATACAGAGCTGATTAAGAGAACACGATGATCGAAGCATATGAAACATGCTGGTTATCTACTTCTACTGAAGTAAATCGGGCTTGGATAAACGAAATATGATGTGCCACATACACACTACTGATAGGCGTTGGGCTGTAGCAAAGCAATTCTGTCTTTCTTTCACTCGATCCTATTAGGGTGTAGGAGCTCTAGTTGCAGTAAGCCAGTAACACAAATAAACTTTTTGAATTACTCATACAGAGAAAACATAGAAGTATGATCAAGAACCCAATAGTCTGGAATTTGTGTATAGTTGATTTATTGATGACCCTCTTAGGTAACCACATGGTTGAGATGCATATCAGATTCAATTAAGAAATAAAAATACTTCGACTAATCAGGCCAGTAAATGCCTCAACTAGAGGTGACACGATAGCCACTGGAGCTCACATGATGAAAACTATGTAAACAAGTTCTTTTCCATTCCCTAGCAAATAGCATATTAGCATTCCTCCACTTTAAGGATTCAAATGCAACTATGTATCCCTGCAGCTCCATTTTTTGTAGAGGGTCCATTATCCACTGGGTTTGAAGATTTTTTTAATTAATGGCAACCAGTAACAATATGTCCAAACAGCAGATATATGTAACTCTTTGAATAATGTGTATTAAAAGAAAGTATGCTATGTCTTCATACAATGTTTTGACATCCTACACCTACAGCTGTTCAGAGCACTACAAGATCTGTAAGGTCTCATAGCTCTATAATATAGCTCTTTGCCATTAATAGAATATTATCTTTAAAATGTTTTGGCATAGTATGCTTTGCTAAGACAGTTACAGTTCGGAGGTAGAAGAAATTCATATGCAACACACATGCATCATTATACCAGAAAACAAACATCTTTTTCTTCGAAGATGCATGTCAAAAGATCCTTTTGGCACCAAATGATAAGGGGATAAATTAGGGACACCAGTTCAACTCACTGACTATCAGACAACAGATTAAAGAAGTAAACACATCATGTAGTAATAAAAAAAAGGGCAGCCAGGTGCACGAAGCATCCCGCGTTCACGCAAGGTCCGGGGGAGCACCACACCCCAATGGGTGTGATGTAGGCAGCATACCCTGATGCAAGCATCAGTGGCTGAAAAGAGGGATGCAACACGAGGAATTCCCATGGGTAAACACATCATGTAGTGATTTTCTAAAATTACAAAGCATAAATGACTTTAGAAGACTCAGATTAAAGAAAAAATAATCACATAAGGAAATCTTACTCTGCCACGAAACACTAACAGACTTCAAAAGACATGTTAAACACAACGCACATAATCTCAGACCAGTATACGTATAACATAAATTAAGGATGTGTTAGCTCCAGGTTTGTTTGAATACCTGTGAGAAATGACAATATCGAAACTGCTACAAGATACTCAAACAGGAAATATTAATGAACATGTGACATCATTATTCAAAATCTGTCAACTGCAACTTGTGCACATAAACAATCACAGAAAATTACGACTATAATCTGACCACTATAAGTGGTCATTTGGGTCAGAGAAATTATGCATGGATTGTAAGGTACGAATCTTAATACAGCGAACAATGATCATTGGATAACTTGTATTGTGTAAAGTATGTTGAATTCTGGATATAGTATATAATCTAAAACATGAGTTTGGTTCAAAATCAGATACAGATTAGTTTCCACTTTCCAGTAATATCCTTGGTCTGTATTACTTTTCTGATTAAAAATAATAAGCATAATATAATTAAGAGTAAAAACATCCATTATATTAAATTAAAAAAAGGGCAGCCCACAGCCCGATGCACAAAGCATCGCGCATTCACGCAGGGTCCGAGGAAGGGCAACACCCAAAAGGGTGTGATATAGACAACATAACCTAATGCAAGCATTAGTGGTTGCTTCCAGTAATATCCTTGGTCTGTATTACTTTTCTGATTAAAAATAATAAGCATAATATAATTAAGAGTAAAAACATCCATTATATTAAATAAAAAAAAGGGCAGCCCACAGCCCGATGCACAAAGCATCGCGCATTCACGCAGGGTCCGGGGAAGGGCAACACCCAAAAGGGTGTGATATAGACAACATAACCTAATGCAAGCATTAGTGGTTGCTTCCAGTAATATCCTTGGTCTGTATTACTTTTCTGATTAAAAATAATAAGCATAATATAATTAAGAGTAAAAACATCCATTATATTAAATAAAAAAAAGGGCAGCCCACAGCCCGATGCACAAAGCATCGCGCATTCACGCAGGGTCCGAGGAAGGGCAACACCCAAAAGGGTGTGATATAGACAACATAACCTAATGCAAGTATTAGTGGTTGCTTCCACGGCTCGAACCCGTGACCTATAGTTCACACAGGTACTTTACCGTTGCCTCAAGGTTCCCCTTCCAAAAACACCCATTATAATTTCTTAATAATAAATGAGAAGAACGACAACAACCCAGTAAAATCCCACTAGTGGGGTATAGGGAGGTAGAATGTACGCAGACCTTACCCCTACCCCGAAAGAGTAGAGAGATTGTTTCTGAAAGACCCTCGGCTCAAGAAAACGAAAAGAGACAATAGATCCGTAACAACAGAAACCAGAAAAATAATATCAGCATCGTAGGAGACAGCAAATAGATGGAAAAGCAATAACACAAAACTATGAAAAACGAAAAAATAGTGTAAACACAACATAAGCCACTAGCAGTTCTAGGGAAAACACTATCAGACTAGAAAAACGCTCGACTACACCCTAACCTTCAACCCTAGTGCTCGACCTCCAAACCTTCCTATCAAGAGTCATGTCCTCGAAAATCTAAAGTCATGCCATGTCCTGCCTGATCACCTCGCCCCAATACTTCTTAGGTCGTCGTCTACCTCTTCTCATACCTGCGAAAGCCAACCGCTCACACGTTCTAACCGGGGCATCTAGGCTTCTCCTCCGCACGTGCCCAAACCATCTAAGCCTCGCTTCCTGCATCATGTCGTCCATGGAAGTCACGCTCACCTTCTCCCAAATATCTTCATTCCAAATCTTATCCAGCCTAGTGTGCCGCACACCCATCTCAACATTCTCATTTCTGGATATGTGAATTCTTGACTGGTCCACACACAACCCCATACAACATGGCCGGTCTAACCACGGCTCTAGAAAAACGCTCAACTACCCCCCTAATCTTTAACCCTAGTGCTCAATCTCCACACCTTCCTATCAAGAGTCATGTCCTCAAAAATCTAAAGTCGCACCATGTCTTGCCTGATCACCTCGCCCCAATACTTCTTGGCCACCCTCTACCTTTTCTCACACCTGCCAAAGCCAACCACTCACACCTCCTAACTGGGGCATCTTGGCTTCTCCTCCACGTGCCCGAACCATCGCTTCCCGCATCTTGTCGTCCATGGAAGCCACGCCCACTTTGTCTCGAATATCTTCATTCCTAATCTTATCCAACCTAGTGTGCCCGTACATCCATCTCAACATCCTCATTTCTGCTACTTTCATCTTCTGGATATGTGAGTTCTTTACTGGCCTACACTCAGCCCCATACATCATGACCGATCTAACCACCGCTCTAGAAAAACGCTCGACTACCCCCTAACCTTCAACCCTAATGCTCGACCTTCACACATTCCTATCAAGAGTCATATCCTTGACAATCTGAAGTCGCGTCATGTCCAACCTGATCACCTCGCCCTAATACTTCTTAGGTCGCCCTCTACCTCTTCTCATACATGCCAAAGCCAACCGCTCACACCTCCTAACCAGGGTATCTAGGCTTCTCCTCCGCACGTGCCCGAACCATCTAAGCCTTGCTTCCCACATCTTGTCGTCCATGGGAGCCACGCCCACCTTCCCCGGAATATCTTCATTGCTAATCTTATCCAGCCTAGTGTGCTCGCACATCCATCTCAACATCCTCATTTCTGCTACTTTCATCTTCTGGGTGTGAATTCTTGACTGGTCAACACTCAGCCACATACAACATGGCCGGTCTAACCACCGCTCTATAGAACTTACCAAAGTTTCGTGGCACATTCTTGTCACATAACTGCAGATGCTAACTTCCATTTCATCCACCCCACCCCAATACGGTGTGTGACATCCTCGTTGATCTCCCAATCCACCTGGATAATTGACCCTGGGTACTTGAAACTTCCTCTCTTGGGGATGACGTGAGTCAAGCCTCACTTCCATGTCCGCTTCCCCCATCACGTCGCTGAACTTGCACTCCAGATTACTCAACTTGAAACCTTTAGACTCCAGGGCTTGTCTCCAACCTCCACTCTCATTAACGCCGCCTCGCGTCTTATCAATATATCATCAGCGAACAACATACACCATGGCACCTCCCCTTGAATATGGTGTGTTAGTGCATCGATCGCCAGGGAAAATAAGAACAGGCTGAGCGCAGATCCTTGGTATAACCTCATAACAACCAGAAAATGCTCTGAGCCAAGCTTCACTTCCATGTCCGCTTCCCCCGTCACGTCGCTGAACTTGCACTCCAGATTACTCAACTTGAAACCTTTCGACTCCAGGGCTTGTCTCCAACCTCCACTCTCATTAACGCCGCCTCGCGTCTTATCAATATATCATCAGCGAACAACATACACCATGGCACCTCCCCTTGAATATGGTGTGTTAGTGCATCGATCGCCAGGGAAAATAAGAACAGGCTGAGCGCAGATCCTTGGTATAACCTCATAACAAACAGAAAATGCTCTGAGTCACCTCCCACCTCCCACAGTCTTAACCCGAGTCTTAGTTCCATCATACATATCCTTTATCACCCAAATGTAAGCTACCGACACACCTTTCACCTGCAGACATCTCCAAAGAACCTCCATAGGGACCTTGTCATACGCTTTCTCTAGGTCAATAAACACCGTGTGCAAATCCCTTTTCCTATCCATGTACTGTTCCACCAACCTCCTGATAAGGTGGATAGCTTCCGTAGTAGAACGACCCGGCATGAACCCGAGCTGGTTGTCCGATATAGACACCGCCCCCCTTACCCTCCATTCCACCACCCTCTCCCAAACTTTCATGGCATGACTTAATAACTTGATACCCCTATAGTTGTTACAATTCTAGATATCACCTTTATTCTTATACAGCGGAATCATCGTACTCCACCTCCACTCATCTGGCATCCTCTTCGTCCTGAAAAGAACATTAAACAGCCCAGTCAGCCACTCCAAGCCTGCTCTATCCACGTACCTCCAAAATTCTACCGGAACTTCGAAATAAATGAGAGATAAGAATAAATAGATAATGCAACAATCAAAAGAATAAATAGATAATGCATTCATCTCCTACTGCATTAATAAGTACATCACCCTTTTTCATTCTAATATTCAATAGTTAGTCCTTTCAGAGGAATTAGGGGTTCTCTAACACTAGAGGTCCTCTATATTTCCTACCAGCAAACAAACTAAAAAGACATCGTACCTAATAATTTGTTCTAAACACTTCCCAATAATTCTAAAATCATTACTAGAAAGAGCAGAGGTAATGAGTAGGAGATGGTTAAATAAACAAATAACAGTGTAAAGGTACTTTATCATATCTATAGATATTGCTAATATTATTCCTCATTGGCTTTTTTAAAAATTTACCACATCTTTTTTGGCTAATACATTTACCACATCACTAATGCGGTTAATATATACACAAAATCAGGAAACAGACAACCAAACACATGGCAATCAACGCAGAATTTAATAGCGGGATAATTCCCAGTAATACAGAGAACCAAAAAGACCCCTAAGCGTATAGCCAAATTTAATTTTTTTTATTAAGGAAATGAAAATGAATTCCTGTATTAGAATCCAACCTCAATGACAGACACATGGTTAAGGGCCATCAGATCATAAATGAGGTATCTCCTTTCCTGCTTCTGTGTGTCAGGCAAAGTATCAATTACCATCTCCCCATCAAGTAAAGTGAAGTGGTGCGTCTTTTCGGCCAAACCCTGGGAGAAAAAACGAGAACTTCACATAAAACACAGCTAGTTTCCAACAGTGAGACATAAAAAGGAGACAAAAAGAAAAGATCAGAACATCCTGATAGCTGACTAGATATGAGCGTACTTCATTAGTGTGTCTGCATGGAAATCTCATCTGTACCCTTCGGAAGTTGAAAAGTCTATCAATTAAGAAACAACCATCCATCGTGATCAGCATCATATACCGTGTTCCATCAGCCTTCCATGTGGCATAGTAGTAACGCTGCCTCAACAGTTGCAAGTTGTCCCTGCACAAAATGACAAAGATTACCTTGAGATGAACAATTCTCAAAAAAGAATTACCTTACGATGAACTCTAGTTTATGGGTTTTCTCAGTCTTTGCTTTGTATTGGATGCTACCAAAGTTTGGAAGGCAGTTAGCCAATTTAATAAATAAACAATTGTTTTCTCAGAGACTATGTTAATATCCATATCCGAGTCCATATGAGGTTCAAATATGAAAATACAATAAGGTTACTATCCATGAGTAAAATATGTAAAAGGGATCTAAAGAAAATACATTAACTAACTCAAAACACATTGATTGACAAGCTATCATGCAGAACAAAGAAAAACACTAGCCAAATAAACAAGCAAAACAAGCTTATTCATGCCTTGCAAGCATAATATAACCAGAGATACTCATTCCTCCATGCATGACCTTCAAAGTCTGAAACCGTGTTAGCTGCACAGACAAAATAGGCACACTGCCGAACCATGCAAGTTGACCAGAGGCATCAGGAACTAGTCGGTTCAATGTTGGCCACCGTGTAAAGAACGCAAAATGAAAAGATAGAAAAACAGTGGGATCGGGAGATTTTAAAACCTTCGATGAAGATCAAACTTCGAAGAGTTCTAAAAATAATAGACTCATATACTTCTTCCCGCAATGGAGACAGCCCCTTCGAGGAGCAACAGATCCACCCAACCAAGGTAATTTATACAAAATAAAAAGGTCTGCCTTTGCTGCTTATTGACAGGTCAAATAATCAATGTCTTTCAGTCTGAATATTCGGAAGTCATCGCAAGAACTTGAACATTTATGATCTCCCCAAAACCCTCTCTATGTGATAGTGTAGTTATTATATTTTCAGAACTAACAAAAACACAACTATAACATGTGGTTTAAGAAAATATAAGCTAGCATCAGGAGACTTCCAAGAAAAGGTTAGATGCAACATTTGCGGAAACAGAGCTAAACATACTTCGGAGAAAAGTGCATGACTTCTGCAGCACCAAATGATGGCCAAGGGACACTTTCATGGTTGGGAGACAAAAAAGCTAATGAAGATTGGGCAAAGATTCCTAATGACAGATTAAAAGAAGCAGAATAAATGGCAGGAGTAAGAAATCAAGAGGTAGAGAATGAAATGCTTGAGCAATTCTCAGGAGGTGGAGAAAAGTGAACACAATAATGAGGGGTTTGATACACAATTTAGTGTTAAAACTTAATTACTAACACAGTTTAAACAAGTCTATATTTTCTTTTCCAAAGATCAAAGCTATTGCCAAATCATCAAATCAACATGTTTCCAGCTTTCAATTAATCCATCTCAGTGGCAACGAGGATAACTCATTCTGCAGCTATATAACTTAGATTTCAGGCTTCGATGTCTTCAAACTTATATTTAACTGCGATAACATGTCAATGACATGAGGAGATGCTTCCATTTTTCTCTCTCTCGGTAAGTGTGTTGACAATATTTCTCTCTTTCTTTCTGTTCAGACTAGTTTCTCCGGCGATATCTTCTATCAATTCTGATTGTCCTATAGCAGTTTTCTCTGTTTATCTCTCCTTGCTTCTTAGTTTACTTTCTAGTTTTCCTTTGCTGACATTATCCGCATGTTAAAGACAACCAACCATGTTACATGACATAGCAAGGGTTCTACTGTCATTTCCACATATCCAGGAAAAGTAGATAGCATCATGTATCAACAATGGAATTTTATGTTGAATCTTTTCTCTTATTTCAAAATTAAATTGTACACAGTTTCCAATCTGATTTAGGCAGGACCAAGGGTGATAACTTCTTTGTTACTTCCAATTTGTGGGTGAACAGACGCTTCTTGTATGTATGGCTAAGCGCAAAATGCTAGACCTAAGGTTCCACCTGACTGTGTACAGCAAAAAGAATATGATGAAGTACAGTTCCCCGAACAGAGATAAAATCAACCTGCTAAGAGAGACTGGATGAGAGCCAGGAAATTGTGGGCCTCTACCCTGAAAGACATACACCAAAAGGATTTTTGAGTTAGAATAGAGCAGACACGTCCATATTTTGCAGGAAGTAGTCTACATAATCCACAACTGAAGTCCACAGCAAGACCAAAAAATAAAAGTAACATGCATAAACAACAGAACAGATCATCATTTATAAATTCTCCGTGCAACAATTTTACATAGACATCAAGCGAGCTGTTGCAACATTCCTACCCCTGGGGTCATTTTCAGTGCTTGATAACAGAACTGCCGCATATAATTTTGCTGATCTTGTGGGATTGCATCTCCCAAAATGTCGTCATTTGACATTACCACTTGCGCTTCACGATTATCCTGAAAAGGAAGAAAATGAGTTATAAGGAAATTCTAAAAGCTCTGTCGAATAAATAAACCTAATTGCAAGGCAAAAGTGTAGAAACCAAAACCATAACATGTTGGTATAAAGATGTAATCACAAGCAGCTACAGCCTTGATATCAATGTTATCATGCTTAAATTTATACTCCTAGTTTGACCTGCACCGTTTGAATAGATTATTACATTGAGTTTACTAGGATAGCTTTCTAGACAATTGTTCGAATTGTCGAACAGTTAGTTGGTAAGATGTCAAATCCAGTTTGAAGTACCAAATGATTTTCTTAGTTTGATTTATGGGGCAGAGAAAGACTTTTCATTTAACAAAAAAAAGACTTTTCATTTAACGAAGGAGGTCGTGTTTTCAGGGACAGACCACAGGAAAAGCAAAATCAGGTTTACTGTAATGGAGGGAGTAGAAGATTAGGTCAGATCAAGCAAGCAGGTCATTCTTCTTAAAGCATAAGCATGATACCCTCTTAAACCAAAAACCCCTCCTCTCACTTCAATACACTCCTCGCAACCCCCATTATATCCATCCGGGTTGCTTCCTGTCTCTCTTCTACAACC